TTTTGTTAAACTATCACTCTATTATGCAGTTGTGTATTTTAAGCAATTTGATTCCCAATATAGGAAATACATTATATTCTTTATATTATTTTCATTTTTCATAATGTCTTTTATAGTATTTTATAAGTGATTGTACTATATATTTTTACCAAAGAATTGTGATCACAATAAAGCATTCATAATGACTTTGGAATTGATAGAAATGCGTTTGCTAAGCTTGTCTGAGTTTCTCTGAAATCAGTTTACCTTCTATTAAAACAGACAGCTCTTCTCCTCCTCTGGGGAATGAAGAAGTACGTGATTGGCACTATGACCCATAAAACTACTTACTGTGTTTTGTAAATACACCTAATACTAGAGTGTTACCAGTATTAGACTAGTCCAAAGGAGACATTTAAATATGTTGGGAAATCAATATCCTTTCTCAGCTGGAGATTCTGTCCTCTCAAGAATACAATCCATATAATCAGAGGAATAAAAACATATCTGTATCTAGAAGAAACTGGGAAAAGAAAAAAACAATTCATGAAGCTTATATCAGCTATAATACATTATGTATATGTACATTCATACCGCTAAAATAAAACTCTAATTGTAGGAAACATCCGCCAGTTCATGAGTTAACATGATGCTACATGATTGGCCAACAGCTTCACCGAAGGAATGACCAACCACCCTTATCTGCATACCTTCTGAGAACTATGGAAATTAGCTAATGTTTGAAGCTAAGTCACATCTTTCATACCTAGAACTCTAGAGCCGTGTTCTCATGGACAACAACAGTCCAGGTTTAGTCAGTATCGCCATTGGAATAAAACAAGGAAATACATAAATCCTGGACTGTTGGTGGTCCTTGAGGACTGGGTTAGGGAACACTGCTCTAGAGGCAATATCAGTAGCAATCATGATGAGAGATTTTCCATGTTTAAACTCATTTGAAGCCCAGTCACATTCTTTCTGGCTTTTGTCACCATGAATGACCTTTACAGGACACCCAACTCTTCTTAACTTGCACGTGAGTTCATCATCACTTTGTCTCTACAAAGGCAAATGTCAACATAAGTAACAATAAAGCATAGACTGTGGTGCCTCTAATCTATATAAAACAGCGGTACAAGAAAATATAGATGTAGGCGTTTAGTGTGCTTAATAGAGCCTTAAAACTATATATATATATATATATAAAATAAAAAACAGATGAAGAAACAATAACTGACTTTGTTTTTGGTCAAACTCACACACACTAGATTTGGAGATTAATTTATTTGTCAATAGCAATTTGGGCCAATCAGGTGATAGTTGAACTCTTAGCCAAAATGTAAATGCATCATGAACCAAACAAATCACGCAATGGATAAACATGTTCGTTTTGATTCATGATTCAGAATTGATCCTGTGCCTCCAAAAAAAAAAGTGTTGTTTGATGGCTAAGGGACAGCCACTAAATGTTGATTTTTTTAAAGAATTCTTTATTTTGCATTTTTCGTAAGGTAAGGGTTTTACAGAAAGAGAGAAGGGTGGGTTAGTGCATGGTGCGCGTATCAAATATTACAGCATTCTGTATATCATAGGTGTATTGTAAACAGACATCTAGTTAAGTCTTCAGGGCGGTGACCTCCCTTTTAGGGGTACGGTTGCGGGTCTGTGCTACTCATAGCTTTAATGAACTTCTGTGGTAGGGCAGTCTCGTTCCCCATTTGTCGGAGGCTTTTCTGCGTTAGTGTGGCAGTAGCTTAAATGTTGATTTTTTATTCACAGATTTAGTTACAAGGAAGCAACTTGTAGAAGGTGAAAGGAGGATAATTAAAAAAAATCTACATTTACATGATTATTATATATTTAATATATTTACTCCTCCTCTTTTACCACTCTGTTGTTTTTTTTCTCACTTGATCTATGAACTAAATGGCTGGAAAATGTGTATATTTTGCAGTACACTGATTGGTCCATTTTTCACCCTTTTTTTGTCTGATTTTTTTTCCTGAATTTTTTTTGTAAATGCCAAATGGGCAAAATTCAGCTAGCTCAAACATAAGTTTTAACCACAGAAAAAAACAAAGAAAAAAATAAACAAATGGGAAGGGCAGTAATCTATACTTTTTAGCCAAACACGTTATTTTTGTCTAGTTAGGGCTTCTTTGCACCTATTTGTATCCTCTGTCATTGTACAAATAAGTGATAAAAAAAAGTTCTATCTATTTAGTGTTAACAAAAGTGCTTTTTGTTTTACTGTAGTTATGAAAGTTGTAAAGAAGTTTTTTTTCATACAACTCATATGCATCTGTCTTAAGAAGATTATGACATTTTATTATAACAGAATATGCCTGAAAATTTAAATTATATTCTAAACCCTGCTAGTTTTCTTAATATGCAGCATTAAGACTTCATTTCAGTGTCATTTTTTTATACAAAGCAACTTATTCAATTCAATTTTTATGTCATGTTAAAGCTAAATGAAAATATAGACCCCCCGCTTTCTGTTGTGTCTGCAGTCGATTACGTTAAAGCTTTGATATAATGTCTCAAACAATCAAACTAAATTTGTCAGGGGATTTTTAATACAATCTAGTGATGAAGCAAAAAGTATTAAATGTATTCAACCATGAAGAAGATGTTGATTATAATACACCTCAGCTGCGATACTATGTATTGACCATGAGTAAAAATGAAATAGAAAGTGAAATGTGATTAGTTCCTGATGGGTTGAAATTCTTTGGAATAAGCGGTACAGAGAGAATTCATATCAATGCTTTACACCGAGATTTTATTTTTTGTTTTTTTTTTGCCTGTTTTTTTCTGTTTGTTTTTCTGTGAATATTAAACCAATGGCTCCAAGAATTGCTGAAATGAAAGGAGAAAGATTTACTGGCAACGCAAGAGACTGGACTCTCAAAATTCTATTTATTTTAAAACTATTAAAAATAAAAAGAGAAATACAATTGCATACAATTGCCACATCAAGAGAATCAGATCACTTAAAATGAGGTCAAACTTTTAAACTAGCCTACAATTATTTTGATTACAAATATTTTCAATAGTAAAGTGCTACACATCTTAGTTTTAGAATGGTCTTTCCTAATTGTTCACCAGTAGATGCTATAATTTAAATACTAAAACATCACAAACAAACTATTACAATAATTAATATCTGGTAAATAATGGTAATTAACTTAAATAGTGCAAACACGTTACACAGTACGTAATGTTTTCATCAAAAAATGAATGTTCAAAGGGTAGGTTATGATGTGATATAAAAATCTACCTAACACACATATAGATGGATTTCATTCTTCATTGCACCTTCTTCATATATGAACAAGATACACCTAATTTTCATTCTGTTCCTCATTTCTACCTAAATGTTCTAACCAATAAAAATATATTCACCATTTAAGATTATAACTTTACTTTGAAGTTGAAACTGGCTTATCAATGTGACTTTTCTTTATCTAAGTACAGCAGAGACTGCAATAACCAAGAAAGACAGTCAGCCATTGAACTAGTTAGATCAAGGTTAAAGCTTTGAAGACCCAAAGGATGGTATCAGATAAAGGTGACTTAACTTTCACTTATTCTGTGATAATACAATATGTGGTCTTTATTTTAGAATGAAAAGATTGCGTTTGAGATAAGAGGTAGCTTAGCTGGATTCGGTAACTTGGCTCTGAGTTTCTGGCTTAGTTGCTACGAAACTGAGCCATCCATTCTGTCCAAGTCAATGCAATCTGACACTCAAAAGAAAACACACTCTGCTTTAATTGTATCATGAAGTCCATCAATTGTAGCAGCATCAGTTGAGAGAGGCTCTGGAGCAATGCGGATAACTGTGATTTGGAGTTCTAAAAAGCATATTGGCTGGTTAACATTTGAAAGTCAATCATAATGCATTTTGATCATAGGTGCAAACTATTTCTACTTAAAGGAAAAACAATATTTATTTAAATAAAATAAAAATAACAAGAGACATGTGACGCCATCACAGATCTTAATCTTAGATATTTCAGGTATTAGTGGTTATATCCTAGGTAATCTTTGTGGATGATTTTTGTCCAAAGTAAAGAAACAAAATATAGTGGTAGACTGAGTGGTTAGAAAACCAACGCCAGTCAATAGGTGCAGCGATCAAAGTGAGGTAACTCACCCCCCTCTTGGACTGTTAGAGTAACCTAGAGGTGGGGATGCGATAAAGAACAATATCGTATAATACGTTTGGGTGATAATGGAGTGGTAATAAAAGATATGAACCCACTCACATGGTTCTGAGCCTTAGCAGGATAGGCTCAGATCACTTGGGCAGGCGTGTTTGGGATAACACGAAACCTTTCAATGGAAGAGGGTCACGCTGTTCCTTTAAATATGGTGCAATATATAGATATATCCCAATGGAGGTGGTAAAGTGCATAGAACTGCTCACCTGATTCAGAGCCATCACTAGCCGGCAATTTTTGGGATAATAAATCCATTTCCAGCCTGAATCCGAGCACTCACACTTGTCAACTGACTCGGGGACAAGTTGCAGATCACATAGATATAAAACTCAAGCACCCAAGATGCACGGGGCCTGCAGAGGCGAATTGAGGCCTACAAGCCACCGGGTGGCAGGAAGGGCGGCCGACTTCCCCACTCTCCTGGAGACCGACAAGCACTACCGCAGACCCCCCCCCCTTTGGACCGGTGGGGGTTATCCCGGTCCCCACTAGATGAGCCAAACCTGTGGTTAAAGAGAGTTGCACACTTGCACGCAATGAAACCCTCCATAATGGGTGGCAGGCATCCCCCAGCAGAGATGACCCTACCACCGACCAGCAGTGGCCTCAGGTTCTCAGTCGAACGCTCCTTGGAGAGACTGTAAGTGATATTTACCAGCTTCTGGGCCAAACTGGAGGCACAAGCGAGGGTTGCAGCCTCCCAACAAGCGGCTGCCGGTCATCAAAAGACACCGCACAGCGGAAGCGGGCCCCCCTTCAGACAAGGAAGGTGAGCAAACCCCCATTGGCAAGCCCTCATATCCGCCCAAGCCAAACGCCCGCCAAGGCCCCATACCGCAAAACAAGCAACGTCCTGTGGTTCTGAGACGCCATGCAAGCAAAATGGAGGCACTAGCAACCACTGACGACTCCCAACGCTGGAGGAACAAGCACTCAAAAAAGAGCATGCAGCTTAAACGAAAGCATGGGATTGCTCACCAGTCGAGAGCTGGGAGACCGGGAACAGTGCTGATATCAGCAACAACCCTAGCTGAGCACATAAACCAAAGGGTAACCCCCCACTTGATCCCTCAAGATGGCGTATACAGCAACAGATGGGAACCAAAGCACACAACAACAAGTTTTGCACCACCGAAGCTCCCACATCACTCTCACCCACTCCTGTGGACGCTACCTCTGAACACCCAGTGGCCCCCTCGCAGGTTGGGAGTTGAATGAGGAGGACTATGACTCACCCAGGCAGCCTGGCCAAAGCCGGCCAACTCCCAGTTTGGCCTACATATGGTGGACTCTTGTGGCGCATTATACTGCACCCCTAATAGCCTTATGTTTCTGTTTCACCTAGCACCCTATGCTCACACTCTCCTTTACCATGCTTTATTGCTCGAATTCCCTCATGCTGCTAATGGTTAGCCTGTAGAACATTATTTTCTCACCACAACACAATAATTCCTCCACCAATAGGCCTACCTTAGACATGTAGAGCAGCCTGATAGATCTAGTATGTTTGGCAGATCACGAAAACGCAGTGTTTCCACCCCTATTATTAACACACTCCTAAAAACGTTTACACTTTGCTAACTACATGCTTAGTCTGAATCTAGTGTTGAGACCTGCACTGCTAGCCTGATACACCAATACTAACTTCATGTTACACACTAATGCATAACTAGACATAACTGTACTGTTTTATTTGGCAAGGTCTAGCTTGTTCATGGCCAGTAAGAAATGTCATGATCACTGCTGTACATCGGCTTGTCTAACTAGCCTTACGGGCAACCTGCCGGTAATAATTTTTCACTCTAGCCAGTATTCAGCAATTTTGTTTCGCATCTTAGAGAACTAGCACACATGGCTAACCTGTGTGTCTTGTGTATTATGGGATCCTTTAAAAAATGCATCTCAGACATTCAGAGACCTAATCAAAGAAATGTTAATGTTAATTTGTTAAGCATGTAACTTTATTACTTAACCTTAATGTCAGTCTGCATTCCGGTCTTTTACGTTTTATGTTGTCTGTTTTACTGACATAGCTACTGTTTAACCCAGAGTCAAGCATGGGTACTATATAAAAAATTGTGCAGACTTAACCTATGTCTACTAACCCAGAATAGCCGGTACCTGCTGTTGTAGCAATACCGGCATGTTTGTCATCACTATGCACACCAAAATAAAGAATTTTTTTAAAAAAGTCTTTCCTCACATATATGTTGACTTTGGTCATGTCTAATGGTGGACCAGAAAATTTAGGGGTAGGGTATACCTCCCAAAAATAAGTTGAAGCAGTAAGTCTTGAAGCTAGAATGTTTATTTTTAATGTAAGAATTTGAATAGGACCCACCCATATTGGGTACTTTGATACTGTGTTGACCTTGATATGGTACGACAATGTAGTATCACTAAATCTTGCTTGGGACTGGTGATTTTAAGTAGTTTATATAAGATTAGAAACTACATGTATTTGTATGTGCATTCTTCCTTGAATGTGCATTGGGTAAACATTTTTACTTTGTCTCTTCTTATTCATGCTGAAAAGGGAAAGTTACCTCCTCTGATTCTGCAAATGACACTCAAGATTAACACCAAAGCCTTGCACATAGCCATAAATCCTAGCTCTGCTCTCGGACTGAGTTTCTTTTATTTACTGTGTACTTTTGAAAACCAACACTGGGCCCCCTAAGGTCCCTGGCAGTATTTTAGTGTAATTGTAACACTTTTTGAATTTTTGATATCTGTCAAAACCACATCTTTTCAACCTGGTGCTGATCGCTTATGCTCACTGGAACTACTTTATGTGTACAGATCCCGTTGCTAAGATAAATAGGAGAATCATAAATAGTACAGATGAATTACCTTTGACTCTCCAGATGCTATGATCAAACATCCCCAAAATACATTTCAAATGTCCCCTTGGTCATCACGGTAACTGTGATTCACAGCAGCCAATGTATCAGAGGTTCATTTTAACTGATATATACTGTACATTGTTGTCTCATAAATTATTTGGTCGGGTTGGGATCAAAGAAGGAGCTTAAATATGAGTAAATGTATTAAAAGAAACACTAATCACACATCTTAGCATGCATAAAATAACAAATGGGTAAATTTCCTTGTAGTTGAGAATATACCTCATCATATTTATTTATTCATGTGATAATGCTAGCATGGAGCACTAATTATTTCTTTGCATATTATATGTTTACTTAACAAACATAAATCTGTTCAGTGCAGATTATAATTGATCAGCAGAAATATAGCCAGTCAGCCTTTTTATCCCAAATGCAGACAATGAAACACAAAATGGCATGTTTGTCAAGGTGTGACGTCCGCTCAACGAGCGAATTATTTGAAACAAACATCGTGTGATTGTCTGAAAAACTGGACAAGTTTGCAGGGCAAAACTAATATGTATTCACATGAAGTCTGTAAATAACTGTTTTATTCAAATGAAAAGATGTTCCTTTAACCGTTCTACAATGAGAAATCTGTTTAGCAATTGATCCGATGATATTTATTTAATGTGTTTTAGTGTGACAAGACATCAGATTACAGAAACATGAATATATTTTGCTTGTTTGATTATATTCTGTATTTATTGTTAGGTAAACAGCTTCCTCTCCTGAAATATAATTTGTTCATTTGTAATCTATCAAGTAATGTGTCATCTCATGCAGATTTGCTTGAAATGTTAAAATGCACATTGTAAAGGCTCCCTGATATTATAATAGGTAAATAGATTGTGGGGTGATTGGATGGACAAGTGGATGGGTGAATGGATGGACGAGTGGATGGGCGAATGTATGAATAGGTTGATGTGCAAATGAATGGATAGGTTGATGTGTGAATGAATAGATAGGTTGATGGGCAAATGAATGGATGGGTTGATGGGTGAATGTATGGATAGGTTGATGTGCGAATTAATGGATGGGCGGATGGGCGAGTGAATGGATGGGTGGATGGGCGAATGGATTGATAGGTTAATGGGCGAGTGAATGGATAGGTTGATGGGTGAGCGAATGGATAGGTTGATGGGTGAGTGAATGGATAAGTTGATGGGTGAGTGAATGGATAGGTTGATGGGTGAGTGAATGGATAAGTTGATGGACGAATGAATGGATAGGTTGATGGATGAGTGAATAGATAAGTTGATGGGTGAATGAATGGATGGGTGGTGCTTCATTGCTTATTATGTTTGTTTTCTATTACACAGTGTGCTCATGTGTCAATAAATATTGGATGTATTGGATGTACACTTAAGCTTATCTTTATATACATGACGTGTTTCTGCTTCTTACAATCAATACATGAAGATTAACATCTGCAGGATATGTTTGACTCCAGAGTTTTGTTGCAATTAATTTCCCTTTTAACATACTACAATTTTTTTTGAGTTGTTTATGCAGTAATGCCAAAGGGGCATATTTCTATAATTTACCCAAATGTAGCAACTTCTGATTTACTATACGTATTAAACCTGTAAAATGACACCAAATGACATTATGCGATAATGAATGGAAACGGTCACTGGAATTGACACCAATGAATAAAGCATTGACAATCACCTATTTTTTTTGTGTTAACATTTTTTCAAGAGGTGCTCTGTTTGTATTTACATTTTACAAATTTATATTCAGATTGTACAAAAAGACAACATAATCCAGTTCAGACAAGGCAAAGCCAGGGCAAACTTTGCAAATGAATAGAAGGAATAGAAACATTGTTCCATTTCTCTTGTCTGTGTAATTGTATTGTTCCAGAACACCACTTTAGCATTATTGCCCCCTAACACAAACTTTGCTTCTATACTTATTTTATATTACATGTTATTGTTAGGTTAGGGTTAGTGTGTTGAGACTGAAATTAAGTTCACAGTGTTAAAGCTAGGGAATGATTTTAAGGTGTTAGGACTAAGGTTTGTTTAGTGTTAGGGTTATGACTAGGGTAGTGTATTAAATAGTAGAGTGATTAAGGGCAGTGTGTTGGCATATTGTAGTGATTAAGAGTAAGTGTAAGTGTTAGGGCAGTTTTGGTGGTTTAAAGGTCTGGGTTTACTGTTACGGAAACAAGTGGACATAATCCCCAAGATTAGAATTTAAGGGACACTATAGACACCAAAACAAATTTACCGTGTATGCTCGAGTATAAGCCGAGTTTTTCAGCATATTTTTTATGCTGAAAAAGCCCCCCTTTGGCTTATACTCGAGTGAGGGTCTGTATTATGGCAACTTACATTTATTATATACACACAATACACAAACACACACACACATTGCATTCATTATATACACACACTACACAAACACACACACTGCATTCATTATATATACACACTACACAAACACACACACTGCATTCATTATATACACACACTACACAAACACACACACTGCATTCATTATATACACACACTACACAAACACACACACTGCATTCATTATATATACACACTACACAAACACACACACTGCATTCATTATATACACACACTACACAAACACACACACACTGTATTCATAATATACACACACTACACAAACACACACACACACACACACACACACACTACATTCATTATATACACACACTATAAATAAATATTCAAAAACATTTAACCTACTGATGCTTCAATTAATGTAATTTTATTGGGATCTATTTTTATTTTGAAATTTACCAGTAGTTGCTGCATTTCCCACCCTAGGCTTATACTCGAGTCAATAAGTTTTTCCATTTTTTTGTGGTAAAATTAGGTACCTCGGCTTATATTCTGGTCGGCTTAAACTCGAGTATATACGGTAGCTTAACGAAACAGATTTAGTGTATAGATCACGTCCCTGCAGTTTCACTCCTCTATTATCTGCCATTTAGGAGTTAAATCCCTTTTGTTTATGCAACCCTAGCCACACCTCCACTGACTGTGACTGACACAGCCTGTATAAAACCAAAATGATTTCATTTCTAATCAGATGTTAACGTTAGAAGTTATCTCCTGCTCTAAAAATTAAAGTTTTATCACACATAGAAGGCCTCTGCATGTTATAGAATACTATTAACAGAGCAGGAGATAAGACATTCTAAATTAAACATAAAGTGCAATAAAGAAAGTTTAAATATTAGATGTCTATTTACAGGAAGTGTTTAAGAAGACTGTGCAAGTCACATGCAG